ATTAATTTAGTCAACTTTTAGAATTCCAAGAAATGGACTAAGGGTATCTAGATCTACGTTAGGGCATTTTCTGTGGATTAAAATCATTTTTATTATTCACATCTTTCACACAGATTGGAGTTGGGTGGTATATTTTCCTAATATTCAATTAAAGCAACAATCTGACGTTTGAGGGGGTGCAGCTCTTTTTTCTCGCTTTTAACTGCTCTGAAAATCACACTCGGCTCTCTTTGTTTGTAAAAGATTCGAAGCCGGGCTTTAAAACACGGTCCTGCGAGACAAAGTCCGTTTTTCCCCCTTCTCTGTCGGTATAAACCCGTTCGTGTTTATTTAAACGGAAAGCTTTTTCATCGCAATCCACGGAGCCGTGTTGAAAAGCAATCGGCTCACAGTACTTACGCTTCCCGCCTCACAGGATGGTGGCGCGCAGGTACAGAGGCGGGAAATCCTCTGAACCAATAATCCCGGGTAATTTTCATGGCTCGGCAGCAGCCGCCCATCTAAATTGTACAGACGTTTCCCACGCTTGCGGGCCGATTGATTTCCCTGCTGGTTGAGGTATTTGTCCGATCCAGTTCGCTCGGACAGTGCGAGAACTTCGGTTCTGACTCGAGTCATGGGTTTTTTCTCCCCGCCAACAAACCGCAGCCAGTGCGGCCGTTAAAATTACTCTGCTGAATTTGAAAATCAGCCGTTGGTTTGCGCGGCAATTAGGTCAATTAAATAACACACATCGAAGACTCGAGAAAAGCACGTCTGTTCTTTTTACTCTTAAGTTCAGAGTTTAAGTGTGTTTTAACATCACAAAAATGCTCAGACTTTCCACCATGACTGCTCCATTCTCTCTCCGTCTCGTTCCCACACTCTGATAGTGTTTTACAGGTGGCTTTTCATTCCCTGCTGATTATTTATCCTGCTTTCCTCCACAGAAGTCCTGCCAGCTCTGAAATAACGCCCGAGGCCTGTGTGTTGTCTCTGACAACAACTGATCATTAGTCTGAAATACAGCCATGGCCTTTGAAACCAGCTCAGCTCCTTCATTGAGTTCTAGTAGGTTTAGTCATTCACGGGATTTGTGTACTGGAAAACGCTCAAAAGTCAGACATGACCGATGGATTTTGAGGACGCTTCATGATTTTCCAGGATGGCTGTGCCGAACCGCTTTTTTTGTTTTGGCATGTGGTGTACCGAAAGTCGCCGAAACGCAATCCAAACTCGAAACTACTCAACATTGGCTGGTGTTGTCACACCTACGAGTGTTTCAGCTGAAATCTTTGAGAAAACGTTATATGTTGCTCGGAAACAAAACACCAGACATCTAAAAAAGATGTCACACTTCCATTATGAATCAGATGTTCCTAAAATTAAGAATAACAATAGATCTAAATTAGATTATAGTCAGTCCAGAGCTGATTTTCTGGTGCTGATATGATTGATGTAAACATGTTTGAGTCGAATGTGAGGAGCTGCAACTAAAACCCATTTTGTTAAATCTAAAACCAAATTGAAGAAAGATTATAGACCCTACAGTAAGAATAGCTTTAAAATAGCATAGTCGTTTGGTCAATTTGATGAGAAATGTTTGAGTTCATAATGAAATCTCTGACTTTTGATCGCAAGCTTTAGTTATCTTGGCAAATTATGGCAGTTCTAGTATTCTTGATGTGTAAATACTATGGTAATCTATTATCATGGCATTACATCTGACAGCACCTCTGTAGCACGGTATAGTTTACTAATGCAACATGAGATATTGTTGAGATCTCTTTTGAAACTAAAGGAGAAACGTGAGATTAGTGGGGTCTTTTTCTCAGGAGAAGTATCCGAGAAGTAGGAGACTAGCAAAGGTCTTCATTTTTATTTTGCTGATGCAACGCAGTGAATCACATGGGCTTGTAGGAGCTTTAATGTGATAGGATGATTTTCTGAAGCTAATATATGATTGATGCACATGTCTTTGAGCCGAATGTGAGGCACTGCAACAAACTCATTTTTGGTAAACTAAAACCAAATGAAAGAAAGACTATAGACCGTAATGAGTTACTAGTCAAAATACAGTAATAATACAGTACACTCTTAAAAATAAAGGTGCTTCACGATGCCATAGAAGAAACTTTTTGTCTAAATGGTTCCATAAAGAACCTTTAACATCTGAAGAACCTTTCTGTTTCACAAAAGGTTCTTTGTGGCAAAAGAAGGTTCTTCAGATTATACAAAGCTAAGAAAGAGATGGTTCTTTAAAGAACCATCTCTTTCTTAGCTTTGTATAATCTGAAGAACCTTCTTTTGCCACAAAGAACCTTTTGTGAAACAGAAAGGTTCTTCAGATGTTAAAGGTTCTTTATGGAACCATTTAGACAAAAAGTTTCTTCTATGGCATCGCTTGAAGAACCTTTTGAAGCACCTTTATTTTTAAGAGTGTATAATACTTTAAAATATCATGAAAACCAGATTAGATCATTTGGCCATTGAACAATTTGATGAGAAATGTTTGAGTTCATAATTAATTTTGATCACAAAAATGAGTTATCTTGGCAAATCTGGTCTGAACATCATGAGATATTGTTGAGGTCTCTTTTGAAAGAGGAGACACATTTGAGAAGCAATAGACTCTCCGTTTTTATTTCACTGATGCAACACAGTTAATAATCTGGGCTATTAGGAGCTCTAATGTGATCGTCAGATTGATTTTTTTGGAGCAAATGTGTGGTTTATTATAAATGTCATTGAGTCTAGTGTGTGTGTGTGGTCTGACCGTACCGCGTTCCCAGCGCTCTTACATGGCTTTAAACTCATCAGATCTGAGGGGGGTCACTTTACTGACTCGATCCTGATTCACGTGTGTACTGATGTGTGTACGGAGCCTCCGAGGGGGACAATCTGCTGGTATGTTATCCTGAAATGATCCCAAAATGAGCAAATAGTTCTTGTAGCCTATAAAAGTTGTGAGAGCTGCTGGAAAGTGGGAAAAGTGAGTAAATGCCAGCAGTGCGAAGCTCCATCCGTACGGCTGATCTCAGCCTTCATTAACTGCTGTAAGCTGCTTGTGTGACTTTCATCAAAGGCAAACAAATAAATGTCAGAGAAATTGAATTAATTCCCAGCATGCCAAGTGCCAAAGACCCCCACTGCCATGGAAAAGTTGAATGTTGATGCTCTGGGTTTTGGTGTCTTGGAGAAAGAGGGACCTGGGCAATGGTCCTCTGGCTTTTCTACTAGCAAACCCTATTTCTAATGCATAAGAACTCAGGAAAAGCCAGAGACAAATGCATGACTTTTTGGGGCTTTCGTATGTTTGGAAATAAATATGCACATACAAAATATAAAATATTTTTAATGCATGTAGCTAGAGAATAGCTAGAGACAAATGCATGGCTTTTTTTTTTTGGTTTTCTATTATAAATAAATTAAATATTATATATTTCTAATGCATGTAACTTGAGAAAAGCCAAATGCATGGCTTTTATGGGCTTCTGTATGTTTAACAATTAATTAATTAATCAAATATATTTCTAATGCATATAACTCGAGAAAAGCCAGAGACAAATGCATGGCTTTTATGGACGTTCATATGTTAATAAATAAAGAAAGAAAGAAAAGCAAGAGACAAATGCACGGCTTTTGTGGGCTTCCATGTGTTT